AACTTTTTTCTTTATTCAAAAATATATTTTGAAAATTTTAAACCTTTGTTTAGACGTGTGCATAAATAAACGAATATAAAGTTTAATGTGCGCAATAATTATTTTATAAATATTAATTATTTCAAACACTAATTTGCATTTATTTTTTTATTTTACAGATCAACTTTGTGCGCGTAATCGGTGTTACAAAATATATTCGTTCCGTCGTATAGTATAACAAAATGCGCGTCGGGAGTGCCGTTAATGCCGAGAGTTATAGCGAATCTATAGATGAACGCATTTTTGCTGTATGACAAATATTGGGACACGATTTTTTTTGACTTTAGGCTTGGCTCGGGGGAGGGAAAGGTCGGTTTCAATCATAAAATCTCGACTACGGCAGGGCAATCTTCGGTTCTACGTGCAACGCGCTAGTTGTACAGATAGCTGGACTGTCGAAGGTAGTCGAGGACGGCTACCGGAGTTAGTCAAACGCCACCGATTGCTTTTCAGATGTCTTTGTATCTAGTCGGTTGATTGAATGACTAATCGCACCTCATCTTCTTCGAGCTTACCTTTGCCCTCTGTTTTGAGAGAATCGTGCCCCAATTGGTAAATGTGGTCGTCTGAAACGCGGACGGAATTCGCGCGTAACGTCACAGCTTGGACAATTCGGTTCGATTCGCCTGTGACGTCGGGAGTGCCGCTTTAAGTATCGCGCGATTTTCGTATTCAGGTACGCATGCGAGCAAAGCGTGCGTCGCGACGCGTGTGTGAGTGCTTTAGAGGATTACTAAAAGAAGGAGGAGGTCTAGGAGAGGCATCGGGCGACAGAAGAGCAACAATATGGTAAGTAATTTATTATAAAAAAATATATTTTTAGTGATGGTAATGGAGCTTAATACAGAGCTATCTTCTGCAAGCTAGGCTTTTTATCAAAATTATTGATTATGGTAATATAAAAATATATATTTGTGAAATGGTGAAAATGTAAAATACAATTTTAAGATAGATTAAAAAAATAATTTTATAATGTATAAAAATAACATTTTAAACAGATTTTCTCAAAATTTAACAGTTGCTTTACATTTTTTCAATTTTTTCGAAAATTAAATTTTTAAACTCAACTTTAGTTTAGCGTTGACAGACGATAACTCTGGTGATTGATACGCATGACATACGTTTTGACACCTGTGATCGCGCTCAAAAAATGTTTGGAACTAAATCAACAGTAAATGTAAAAATTAATAAAACATTCGAAAGAAAAAACTAAAATAAAAAAATTTATTTAGGCATTATTAGGGTATTAATAAACATTATTTAAATAATTTAACATTCTGCAGTCTCTAAACCTCAGTATTATTTGACATTAGAGTACAATTTTGATTAGCGGTTTACGCGTTGATGAAAACGCTGCAGAATATATACATACATCGCAAATGGAGAGAAGATATGTTCGCGATTGGAAACACGAGTGAAAAAGTTAACATCACAATTGCATTGCTACATCGAATTTTCTGTGAAACAAGCCAGTTGCGCGAAATCAAATATTTTCCGGATACGTTGCCGAACTTGGATCGCTTGCATATATTGCGCCGAACGGCGCACGTAGCACCACCCTGGAAAATCCAATTTTCATGGGCCGAAATGAACCTTTATCGAATATCGTGGTCACGCGTGGAAATGTGCGATGTGGTCCGCCGTTTCGACATCTGCAGTGGAATATCTGATGTATCATAATCCTGCTTTCATCTCCACGATATTACAGTATAATTACATGACCCTTGCGGGTGCGGTAATGCGATGTAACGTTGTAAACGCAAAATCTATGTTCTGCATATGCTCTTGTTATATATAGTAAGACGATTTTAATGCTCATGGGAGATAGAAAGAACTATAATACTGCAAAGCTTATAATGAAACATTTCAGTACTTAAATTTATCAGTTGAGAAGCTACGGTCTTAGTAAATTAATGAATGTTACGCAAACTGTTGTTAAATTTAGTTTTCGCATTCCTTAACTCTTTCTGTCTCTTTCTGACACTTAGATTTCCTATTGCGTTAGTTATTTCTTTAGAAAATAGCATATTGCAATTGCGACAAATAAGAAATTCGCAACAACTGTTGGAACTTGCTTGCGTTGCATCTAATCTTCATCCCGTCTTCTTCTTCCTCGCGAAATAACATTTCAGGGAATGTCAATCTTCTGAAAATTTTACAGAAATTTTTTAGACGTAATATCAAGACGCGATATCGCAACGCTCTACGCGTGACTGATAAACTACGTCCAAAAATGCAATTTCGATTGCAACCATGTCACGTTTGCACATAGTGCGATACACGAATAACGCTACGTGGCAGTAGACGCGGAAATGTCGAATCTCATAACCACGAATTCCTATGGTCTACACTAGACGGGCGAGGATCGCGCGTGAATGTAAAGCAGAAAAAAAGCGAATAACTTTGAGATTTGAAAAATTTATTTATTTTTCGAAAAAAAGATATTGGCTACAGCATTTTCTACTGACAAGAATTATAAATACGAATTTATTAACTTTAGTCTAATAATTTGTATCCTAAGCAATTCTAATAATTGATAGCTCTAAAACCAACGTGTTTCCTTGATTTCTCATTCGATTTTTTTGTAATTTCTCTGTCACAAGTAATGTGTAAATCGTTTTAACGAGGAAAACGACATTATAATCATTGCACCTCTCATTCTCCTTTCACAATGCGTCAATCAGTCATCCCCCGTTGATGTCAGCGGTGGCATCGACGCGGTTATCCGGAGCGTGACATCGGATTTACTTTGCCCGATTGCTGATTGGGATAGTCGATGCATCGACAGGGAACAAGTGCGCGCGGTCAGTTTCGAGGTTCACGTTCAGGCCGATCGATGCAACCGCTCGATCGGAAAGCTCAAGCTTACGGCACGATCGCGGTCGATCCGGTGCAGCGATTGGCCCAGTCGGATTGGCGCGGTTTAATCGACACAAAGGACGTCTCGTTAGTCGGGAATTAAATGGATTATGGTCTCAGTTGGCCGCCGTCGCGATCGATTCGCGCTTGCGAACGCGCTCAGCCGTCCCGTCCCGTTCCGTCCCGTGCCGTTACGACCCGTCCGGTTTCCGTTTCGTACCGCTTCCGCACATCCGTAATACAGTTCGATAGTTCGATACATCCCACCAGCGCGCGAGGAAATTTCCGCGAGCAAACTATCCGACCAAGTGCGCGAACTTTACCGCAAAGATCGACAGATTTCCCGCGAACTCGCAGCGGCTTTATTCGGCAGATTTCCCACGAACTTGCGGCAGCTTTAGGGTTCGCTTCTCGAACAGGAAATCCGGGTCTATTCAAGCGGCCCGTGAATTCTCAAGTGACTCGTGATTCAGGATTTAAACTACCGGCGAATGATGTCATTTCAGATCACTTGTTACGATAGATCCTGTATCCGTATATTAGGATTTTTTTATTTGCTTATTGGCTTGAACGAGTATTTTTTAAACTTTGATTTTTATTTTAAATTAACTATAAAAAAAGGATTGTGTGTTACAAAAACAGATTCGCGTGCAGAAAAGTTGAAAAAATAATACCGCAAGATAAACAGAAATGTATCTGTCTCTGTTCTAACGGCGATTAAGCGGTTTATGGTTTCAGTTCTATCCACCATCGAACTACCGCAGTTACTCTCGCGGTTATCTCCGCGTTCCATGTCGTGTTCGGACTTTGTAATTCGGCCGAGCGATTCGATGGCTTCGATCAATAGTGTAAAAGTTCTCAGCAATTGTTCCGATGCAATTTCGATTGCTTCACAGAGTCCGCTGGCGACTCGATAAATAATAAATTACTTTTGGAGCGCATTATCAGCGCATACTTAATAATGCGAAAAGCGTGTCGTTTCGTTTAATACGAAAATGAGTTTGTTTCAAAACGAAAAGTATCAGCTAATCATTACTAACTTTAACAAACATAATCACTTTACTTACATCATAAACAACAATTACAAACATTTTGACATGACTTTTATCATATAACATATGTAGTAATTACAAATTGATAGTAGCATGTTTCTATTTAAAAAAAAGTAGAGTATGTGTTTTTATCTTTATCAATTATCAAGAACAATCTGCATTTTTCGGAGTATTCATGCTTATATAATTTTTGCAAATTTTATAAAAATGCAAACCTTGAAAATTTAAAAATCAGTTTGCGGTCGGAGTATCAAGTTAACAATCCTTCATTGTATGCAAAGTGGCCGATAATGAAAACGATAAATTCGTACGAGAAGCAATAAAAACAATATTCCAGAATGGATTTCCGGGGATATGCCGCACGGAAATCGCGTGCTTCGATTGTAAAACTGCAAAAAGTGAGGGGAGAAGATTGGGAACTACGCCAAACAAAAATCCAGTCTGCTTCACGTATACCCGTCTCGGTTTCTCCGTCTCTTTCTTTCGATACATCTCTCTATCAATCTACCTCACTTCGATCGCATCTGGAATTTCGGAAATTCCCCTCGGCAGACGTGACCGTTGTGCCGTTGTGCGCGCGGAATTTTCGATATTTTTATTTGATAACGCGCCCGCCGGCGAGCGAGGCGGCCCGTTGCGGGGCATCTCGATTGAATTTCAAACGAAATTCAAATTACGCTTAATTTGGTTAGCTGCTGGTAAAAAAGAGAGAGAGAGGAAACGGATCGAGACAACCCACGCGTGTATTCTCCCGACGCCGATGCTCGCGTGCGGTTCCGGGCCGTTTTGAGGCCGAGGGTGCGTTATACGGATTCTATTATCGACTAGCAGCCATGCGGTTCATTAAAATGGCACGACATTTACAAACAGAGCGTCGTCCGTTTTGCTCGATCGTCCGACACACGGAAAAGCGGAAAAGCGGAAACACAACAATTATGTTTTGTTAGTTATTTACAAATAAAAATATCGAGTTTTTGTCGATGCGGTGTTCAACACCAATTTTTCGGAGGGAAAGATCACAGATGGCAATGGATAATCGACATCTGTAGAAATCTGTTCTGGAAAGAGATTTTTCGATAATGATTTTTTATTTTCTATTTTTTCGTGTTCTATTTTTAAGCAGCTTCGAAATATGTATCCAACATTAGAGGATTGAGAGTATTGTTATTTATATTACCTAAAAAATTTCATGACATTTTTGAATTTTAACTTTAGTTAAAAAAGTTGAGAATGAGAAAGCAATGTGTAAAGCTAAATATAAAATGAGTATTATTAAACAAAAATGAATTGTCAACATACCGTAAAGATTATATCTACTTTCGATTATTTTTTTATATTACAATGACAAAAGCGTGAGCTCACGTGATATGACAGTAACATTTCTCTCATTCATCCCGTAACAACGTGTTGGAAAACGCTTCAATTTTTCGGCAATACAAGTTCCGCGTTCACGAATCGTGATAGCGCGACTCTTAAAATTATTTACCTCTCGATATTCGATAACGCGTTATCGGCAGCCGCCAGGAGCGCCGGTTGGAAGCGGAATCGCCAAGCGCGGCGAGAGCTGTCGCTGTCGGAACGGGACGGAGTAAAAGTCGGGGTGGGTTGGTGAGAGAACCGTTCCTCGTTTATTGCCTCGGCACCCGGGGTGCCCGGAAACGAGTGCCGGGGTGCCGTCGGGTTCATCGCGAAGCCGAGATAAAAACGTAAACGGCGGACGAGTCGATCGCGCATCGACGTTGCCGCCCGACGGCGCGCGGAGGATGAATATTTGACGATGTTTGCGGGAATTGTATAACGGGTGCTCCCGCGGGCGCTGTTAGCCGGGTTAATCAACGCGACTGTCTCGAAATGCAATCTCGCGGCCGCGTCGAATGA